CGCTGAATATTTATTATATTTTTTTTTAATAAACAACACTTAATTCAAAAGAATAGTATACAAGTTAAATCGATAAAATTTTAAAACGAAACTGATTAGATATTTGTTGGTCTAGATTTTGTTTCGCCGATCTACAGAAAATCTCCGCCGTCAATGCAAAGCGAAGGTGACACTTGGGGATGGTCCACTGGTCCGTACAATGATACTTCTCTCTTCACGTCGATAATCAATTTTTCTTTTCTTTTTTCACTTCATTTCTAATAAATTATGAGAAAACGTGGACCCGTTATTAGTACAGTAAGCCAATGAGAAGTTGACAACAATACAAAACCACTCTGGTTTTTTGTAAACAAGAAATAAAAGAGTTTTAGCTTTTCCCTAAAACCGCTCTTACCCAAATCTCTCCATAAATATAGAGTGAAAGAAAGATCCCGAGACTCAAACACAAGTCTTATTAAAAAGGAAAGAAAGAAAAAACTTTCCTAATTGGATCATACCAAAGACTGAGCTCTTCTTTATCTCTCTTCTTGTAGTTTCTTGTTTTGGTTGGTTCTTTTAGAGGAAATAATTTCTTAAAAAAGGGATCATGGGAAGGGGTAGGGTTCAATTGAAGAGGATAGAGAACAAGATCAATAGACAAGTGACATTCTCGAAAAGAAGAGCTGGTCTTCTGAAGAAAGCTAATGAGATCTCTGTTCTCTGTGATGCTGAAGTTGCCCTTGTTGTCTTCTCCCATAAGGGGAAACTCTTCGAATACTCCACCGATTCTTGGTAACTTTCTCATTTAAAATCCAAAAGTATCTTTAATAACTCTATTTGACTCTTGTTTTTCTCTTAAGTTGACTACCTGATTTACCCTAATTGTAACTACTGTTCTTCTTACGCATTTCTAGGGTTTTCATTTGATTAGGGTTATTACTAGTTAGATATGTTTACTGAATCTGTAAATTACTGCTAGAAAACATGTTTATTACTTTGATTTGCATTTATTAAGATACATAACTTTATGCTTTGGACTATTCTAACCATAGAACAAAACACTATATTATTGATCTGGTATATATATATATAAATATATATATATATATATATATATATATATATATATATTCATATATACGTGTGTGTATGCATTATTTCATATAGGATACATGCTGAATTTCTTGGCTAGTTTCTTTTAAGCCCTAAATCCTTTTGAATTTTTGTGTTCTCCTAGCTATTTAACTTTTAACTAGGGCCAAAGTGAAAAAATGAAAATGTTTAGTTTCACTCGGCTTTTGGCTAGGAATACGAACTCAAGTGTTAAACGAAATGTTACTTTCTTTTAATAATTTTCAAATTGAGTTTTATTAATATAGATAAGCGGAAAACGTGATGAGATGAAAAAACTGGTGATTTAAAAGGATTTTTAAATAAAATTGAGGTAAGACTGAAGGTTCAATGTTTAATTTGAGGTAGGTTTTTTTTTTTGTTTTTCCAGTCTTAAACTCATTATGAGAACGTTCGATCTGTTTTCTAAAATTTTGCAAATGTGAGAAGCCAAAATGTTTTTCCGTCGGCTTGAGGAGTATGAACTCATAATTCAAAACACTATAGTATTAAACGTATAGTTTCTTCTCTTTTATTAGATTTTAGTCTAATTGAAACGCGGGAAATAAGGATGTCAAATCTGAGTAGGGGGTCTTTAACCTCTGGGGATCCACGAAATGAATTAACTTAATCCTATGTTCGGCTTCTTACCGATGGTCAAATTTAGCTCCAACAAGCAACAGCTGTTCTTCTTTCTCTTTAGAAATATATTTATCTATATTCCGTACAAATGATGTCGGTAAATTTGGTGAATTAGTTATTTGACTAGATTATAATATTTATTTATAATGTATCATTTCTAACTAGATTTCCCTGTCCATAATTGTTTACAGTTAAAGAAATCTCACTTAGTACTCTAAGTTAGATGCGTGTATTGATTCAGTTTTTGTTATAGAAAAATATAGAGATCTGTTCATGATTTAGCAAATCTTGTTTTAAGGGTTTAAGGCATAAAACCATCATTAAGACCTAACTAGAGTTATCTTAAAATGTCATGAAAATTGAGCTTATCCTAAGTTTATGTATATATATTACGTGATGGTTTGCTTGTTTACATGGATAAGTATGCATTTATACATATATAATATATGTTAAGAAAGGGTTGATGATATGAAAATTGAACAGTATGGAGAAGATACTTGAACGCTATGAGAGGTACTCTTACGCGGAGAGACAACTTACTGCACCTGAGTCCGATGTCAATGTAAAACAATGACTCTCCATTAACTTGCATACATTATGTAACTACGAATTTCAATATTGCTGAAGTGTATCTGTATTATTAAACTTGTGGGATACAGACGAACTGGTCGATGGAGTATAACAGGCTTAAGGCTAAGATTGAGCTATTGGAGAGAAACCAGAGGTACACACTTACATTCATCATACTATTGCACAAAGAAATATAAAACCGGGTAGCAATGGTAGTATTAAAATGCATGGATACATTTGCCTAACAAGAACACGCCTGGACGCTATTTGAATCCAGGCACTATCTTGGGGAAGACTTGCAAGCAATGAGCTCTAAGGAGCTCCAGAATCTGGAGCAGCAGCTTGACACTGCTCTTAAACACATCCGCTCTAGAAAAGTATGAATCCTCCTATTTTGTATTAAACATATGCTGTCATATTATTTTATTATTTGAAAAGATTAATTAATGTGTGTAGATGTGTATGCATGTTGTATTGGTTAGATATAAGAACGTAAAATCGATTCAAATGTTTGACTTTTAAAAGAATTTTGTGTATAACTAACACATGTGATGCTTGTCTTTGCAGAACCAGCTTATGTACGACTCCATCAATGAGCTCCAGAGAAAGGTATGCAAGAAAACCCTATTAAACGTACGTCTACACAAAGCAGCTTCGTGTAAGAAGTGTATAGGGGAGCTAACAATCTTGCCGTTTTGGAAATGACAGGAGAAAGCCATACAGGAACAAAACAGCATGCTTTCCAAACAGGTGACTCTTGTTATTAAATATTATGTGAGCATGTTTTCCATCGCATTACTGTTAGCTTTCACTGTTTTACTCCAAGCCAAGCTATTCCTACCACTACGAGATGAGATCTTCATATCTCTATTTAGGTTCTGCCATCGTAATTAATAGATAGAAGATATTTGCATTTTTTTTATGAAGTCTATTGATTGATATAATCATCATCAGCCAGTTCGTAGATGGGATTTGTCCGTTTAGTTTTAAGGTTGTCTCTCGGATTGAAAATATTTGAAAAAACGTCGCCTCATCTACTTCTACTGTGGTCGTCTATATATAGGTATGTGAATCTATACACTCTTCCTAATTAAAAATATTGGGTTAAACTGTAGTAGCAAGTAAGAACGTGTGAGAAGATATAAATTTAACACATGTATAATAGTTTATAGCATCAATGCAAGGAATTAGTAGTAACCAATTTTTTTTTTCAAATGACCGTAATAACCAAAGTTCTAAATGCAATTACATTGGATACCACATATTTAGTTATTTATGAAGTCGTCGTTTTGAAAAACGATGTTGATGATAAAATGGTATGGAAAGTTTTATAACAAATTGGTGTGTGAAATTGGAACTTGTCAGATCAAGGAGAGGGAAAAGATTCTTAGGGCACAGCAAGAGCAATGGGACCAGCAAAACCAAGGCCACGACATGCCTCCTCCTCCTCCTCCTCCTACCCCACAGCAGCATCAAATCCAGCATCCATACATGCTCTCTCATCAGCCATCTCCTTTTCTAAACATGGGGTAATTAAATTTTACTATATATGCTCTTACTTTAAAGTATGCATTATGTCTTATTTATAAGCTAGTAACGTGTCATAGTTCCAATGAAACTAGCTAGGTGTGTTGGTGATGGTTAGATATCTAAATTGTACATTATGACTCCACTCCACTAAGATTATTCATAAATTAACGTAGGTTAATGTAATGGTCGTTAAACTAACAGATTTATATTTTTGGAACCGTTGGCATCATCATCCATTTTTCTTGTTGTTTTTTGAAAATGAGTTAGTCAGATTAATGAACACTCTTTAATATATCAATTTGGACTTTAATTTTACTAATTTGACGGCGAAGCATATAATTTTCAGTGCACTTAAGTAGTTAATAATAAGTTATATCATGCATAATGTGAATGCAGTGGCCTGTATCAAGAAGAAGATCCAATGGCAATGAGGAGGAACGACCTTGATCTGTCTCTTGAACCCGTTTACAACTGCAACCTTGGCTGCTTTGCCGCATGAAACAATTCCATATATATATTTCTATAATTCCACATTAATAATCACAATTAAATGTCTTTGTTTCTGTATGCGGCAAAATGTGTAATATAACTGCAAGGTCGGAGAGAATGAATGTCAAAACTGGCTCAATCGACCCCTTTTTAAACTTACTATCATTAATTTGCTTCTCCATATAGCTGTTGATCAGTTAAATAAAGATTTTGATTAGCTAAAACAAAAATGTATTCTAAAATATGACATTACATCCTAACATGTCTGTTTAAATATCACTGATTAAGTGATTTATTAAAGATGTTTTCAATGTAATCAGCAAAAAAAAAAGAAATAATCAACCATGTTTTGAATGTATAACAACTCTATCTTAACATTACTCGGAAGGTATTCCAAATTCTGATTAGACAGTGTAATATATTTTCGGGATAATTCACTATATAGCACTAAATGAGTTCCTTCAGAGACAGGATTAGCCGATAGATAAGGCATATATCAATTTTTTTTGTTGTTTATTACATTGATTCTTGTTCAAACTTCAAACGCAAAACGATTGTAGGAAAAAACAAACTGGGCCACAATTGAAAATGGGCTTACAGGCCCAACTAAATTCGAACTGACCCGCCATGTTTTCTTCTTCCTATTTTTAACCTTAAGCTATTCAATACACATTGAAAAGAAAAAACAGAAGTCCCAAAACCCTGTCCGAGATATCTTCTAAAACCCTAGACGCCGCCACCACCACACCACCGTGATTGAACCATGGGGAAGAAGAAGAACCAATCCAACAAGAAACCAGACCAAAAAGGCGGCCCCAAAAAGATGGGACCAGAAGCCGTCGCCATGAAAGCCAAAGCCAAAAAAGCCGATAACCCCTTCGAATCAATCTGGTCTCGCCGCAAATTCGACGTCCTCGGAAAGAAACGCAAAGGCGAAGAGCGCCGCGTCGGTCTCTCCAGGTCCCGCGCCGTCGACAAGAGAAAGAACACTCTGCTCAAAGAGTACGAACAGAGCTTGAAATCCTCTGTTTTTACCGATAAGCGTATCGGAGAGAACGACGGCGAGCTTGGGGAGTTCGATAAGGGTCTTATCCGATCTCAGAGAGCTCGTCAGGTAATAAAGTTTTCATCTTTACCATAAAAAAACAGAGTAAAAAAAAAAGTTTTGATTTTTATTGTGACGAAGAAAAAAGTTTTGATTTTTTTTTTGTTTTTTTTTTGGTTGTGTTGTGGTTTATGTAGATGAAGGCGAAGAAGAGTATGTATAATTTATCTGATGGGGAGGAGGAGGATGTTTATGGAGATGGAGCTCTTGGTGAATCTTCTTCTGCAAGGGATGATTTTGATTCCGGACTTTTGTCTGATGATGATCTTCAAGATGATGATGATGATGGTGGATCAAGGAGTATGTTCATTGACTTTATTCACTTCTTAATTTGTGTCTGAAGCTAATGTTGTCTAACCTTATTTCTCTAATAGGACTTAAGCATAGGAATAAAGACTCACCTGAAGAGGAAGAGGTAAGGACATCTTGTGAATGTGATTATTATTATACCTTTGATTCTTGTTCACGTTGTTGATGTTTTTTTTGGATTTTCTCTGTTGCAGAGGCGTAAGAGTAAGAAGGAAGTCATGGATGAGATTATCATGAAGAGCAAACTTGGCAAGGTGATTGATTATTCTTTTTTTTTTCCTTTTCTTATGGAATTGTTAATTTATAGTTTGTTAAGGTGTTTTTTTTTTTGTGCGTTTTTTGTAGATGGAGAAAGCTAAGAACAAGGAGGAAAAGGAGAAGTTGTTGGATGAGTTAAATAAAGACTACATGTCCATGGAAAACTCTGAGGCGATGAAGAGTTTAACTCAAGATTTTATCGTCCAAGATGTAAACATTTTGCACGTGTTTGTGTTATTAGGAGGCGAGTGCTCTTTTGTTTGACGTGTTCACTTTTGTGTGCAGGAGCCAAATGATAAATATGCAATGTATATGGATGCTTTGGCGTCTGATCGTCGTGGTCGTCCTACTGATAGAACAAAGACACCTGAAGAAATTGCTCAGGAAGAGCGTGAAAAATTAGAGGAACTTGAGGTATTTTTTTATGAACTGACGTGTTACAGAATTAAAAGAAGGGTTCTGATCTGATTGTGTTGTCAAGGTATTATGGTTAATCTTGATACATTTTTTAACACTTTTAGGAAAAACGTAAGAAGAGGATGCAAGAAACTGAGGATTTAAGCGATGAGGATGAGGAAACTGGTGGTGAGGAGTCATCAAAGAGGCTAAGAGTCATATCTGGTGATGATCTTGGTGATTCCTTCTCAGTTGATACTGAGAAGCCGAAAAAGGGATGGATTGATGAAGTTCTTGAACGAGAGGATGATGATGATGATTCAGAAAGTGAAGGAGAGGATGATGATGATGAGGAAGAGGAGTCAGATGATGAAGAACAGACAAAAGGTCATCCTTTAAAGGACTGGGAACAAAGTGATGATGAGCTTGAGGCAGAGCTGGAAGGCGATGATGAAGATGATGATGATGATGATGATGATGAAGAAGAAGAAGAAGCAGAGCCAATCGTACATAAAAAGTCAAAGAAAGAGTCTGCTGCTCCATCTAAAGGAGAAAGGTCATCTGGAACAGTAAAACAATCTACTAGTATGAAGAAGTTGAGTTCAACGCAGAATGATATTCCTTACGTAATTCATGCTCCACAGAGTTTCGAGGAATTGATTTCTCTAGTTGAAGATCGATCTAATGCAGATGTTATTACAATTGTTAACCGAATCAGAACAACAGATTCAATTAAGCTTGCAGCTGAAAACCGCAAAAAGATGCAGGTAGCTCTTTTTTCTCTTTCTCAAAGATAACATTACCATTTAACTGTTTGCAGCTATTTTGGTTTATTTTTCGGACCATTGATTTGTTTTTTGTTGTTGTTGTCTGTCCATTCAGGTCTTCTATGGTATTCTCCTCCAGTATTTCGCCGTCAATGCAAACAAGAAGCCATTGAACATTGAGTTACTAAACATGCTTGTCAAACCTTTGATTGAGATGAGCGGAGAGATTCCCTACTTTGCTGCAATCTGTGCTAGACAACGGCTTTTAAAGACCCGTGCGCAGTTTTGCGAGGCTATCAAGAATCCAGGTTTGTGATGCTTCTACAGCCTGAAGTTTAAGTTTCTTGTAAGATGCATTCTTTTTCCCTTAACCAGTTGAGAAACATTCTTGCAGAGGATGGATGCTGGCCTTCATTGAAAACCTTGTTTCTCTTGAGACTTTGGTCCATGATCTTTCCATGCTCTGACTATCGTCATGCTGTGATGACCCCTTCGATATTGTTGATGTGTGAATATCTCATGCGATGCCCCATCTCCTCTGGTCGTGATATTGCCATAGGCTCTTTCTTGTGCTCCATTGTTCTCTTGGTAAGGAGATTCTCCACTCTTTTTGTTTGCTCGGCTATTTACATTTTTTTTCAGTTTTCTCATGCAAACAAAATTTTCTGTAGGTTGCTAAACAATCTAAAAAGTTTTGCCCTGAAGCCATACTATTTATCCGGACTCTTCTGGTGGCTGCTTCAGACAAAAAGTTACCACCATCTGAAGAATCTGAGGTACATTTTGATTTTATATTTTGTGCTTGTGACTCTAGATTGGTAAAAGCTTATAGGCAAGTGTTGTTACCAAGCTGATGAACTGTTGTGAATCGTGTTACAGTTTTATCATTTCATGGAGTTAAAAACGCTGACTCCATTTCTCTGCATACAAGAGGAGGTAAAGGAGGTTGTGCCATTAAACTTCTTAAAGATAATGGATCAGCCAGCAGACTCTCCATATTTCAGCTCTGATGAATTCAGGTCTCTTCTCTTTTCTGTAATCAATTTTTTAGTTTAAGATAACACAACAGTGGAAGTGTGTGTAATGCTTTTGACGTTTGGTGAAACAGAGCAAGCATCCTTTCAAGTGTAGTTGAGACTCTGAGAGGGTTTGTGGAGATAAACGGAGGATTGAGTTCCTTCCCAGAGATCTTTACGCCTATTTCAACTTTACTACACCAAGTTGGGGATCAAGAAAAGATCCCACAAACTCTTAGGGAGAAACTAGAAGATGCTGCGCAGCTAATCGAAACGAAAAGTGAGGAGCATCACAAGCAACGCAAACCACTTGCTATGCGTAAGCAAAAGCCAGTAGCCATCAGAATGCTCAATCCCAAATTTGAAGAGAAGTAAGTCTCACTCTCTCTCTCTCTCTCTCTTTCTCTTTCTCCTCAATCCATATTCATTCTCTCGTTATAACGGTGTGTTTATATATGTTTGTTGTTGTGCAGCTTTGTCAAAGACAGGGATTACGATCCAGACAAGTACCGTTCAGACATGAAAAAGTTGAAGAAGAAGCTAAATGAGGAAAGAAAGGGAGTAGTGCGGGAGCTGCGCAAGGACAGCTACTTCATGAGCGATGTTAAAGCAAAAGAAAAGGCTGTACACGAGCAAGAGAGGGCAGAGAAACATGGCAAGAATCTGGCTTTCCTTCAAGAACAAGAACATGCTTTCAAGTCTGGACAACTTGGTAAAGGCAAAGGCAGCAAGAAGAGGAAGCGTTAGATTACCATTATCAACTACTTTTTGGTTCAACTTTTTAATGGTTCCTCTTTTTTTATTTAAACGTACCTCAACAATTTTGTTTTTGTTGGATAATTGAGAGAAACTAATCTACATTCCTAAGAAATCCAAAAATGTTTAATGCTTAGAATAACATTGTTTTTTGGTCAACCTTCGGATCAAAACTTGTCCTTAAATGTTTGCGATAAGATTAAACTAGACTTTGACTGTGTTAAAGTGTCGGAAATTTTATTTTGTAAAAATCCAAAAAATGTCAATTTAAAATTTTGTCACTACTGTTCAAATAGAGGGGCAATTTGCCTAATATTCATAAGAGAATCTGAAATTAAGAATATAGCCATAGGAGTTTGATTAGACATTTATCCATGCTTCTTGACGATATTAATCTTTCATTCGCTTACGAGTGACTATGAGGCGAGTGGAGTGGAGTAAATCATCAAAACATAACATCGGTGTTGGGACAAGAAGGGGGATATGTGACAAAGTGGACTATACTTTTACTGAGGATAGTATACACCATATTTGGTAACATAAAATAATATCTGAAGAAAACGTGATTCGTCTAACTGTAAATGGCACAGCGAACACAATATGGTTTCATATCCTGGAAAGACATTAACCAAACAAAGAGCACCGAGAAGCATATATATTTGGTGCTTAGTTCACTATACTATAGGGGGATAGTATAGTAAATAATGCCCAATAGCTGAGAAAATGAGGTCCGAATAAGAGGAGACATGATATTACGGAGGGATTAGATTAGAGTATAATATAATATACGTTGGATAACATAGTACCTGATGAAAAGGACAGTGTAGCATGTTAACTGAACCAAGTGTACAACATACTGAGAAACAAAAGACTATACTATAGGAGGGATAGTACATCAAATAATGTACAACTTATAATATCTAACAAGATGAGTGTCAGACAAAAGGCTACATGAAATTAGAAACATAAGACTATACTATAGGAAGGATAGTACATCAAATAATGTACAACTTATAATATCTCACAAGAGGAGTTTCAGAGGCTACATATATTACTATTTTCTATTATGGCAAGAAGTTATGACGCATGTGGGTAACTGGAATGAAAATGGGATGGTCTGTAAATCATAAGGATAATAAAACATGCTGAACAACTTGGACACGTTTGAATTAAAGAACAACCGACGTCAATTTGGATTATAGTGTAGATTGTACTATACAATACATTGGATAGTATAGGACATACTCAAAAGAAGAAAATATCATGTTAACCGAAAGATTTTGTAGTACGTGAAGAGCTAATTCCTGCCACGCATCAGATAGAGACTCTTTTATCACCTCCACCCATCTCAAATTGAAGTAGTTGTTTATTCTCTTCCGGCTAGTTAGTTCAAATCCCGTCTCAAACAAGCACTCCAGTAAGCCAAACTCCTCCATAATCTACAACAAAAAGTTAAACATTAACAACCGCACAATATTCGAAAAAAGCCAAAAACAAATGACATGACAACAAACTTGCCAAATTGTTAGATATCTAACATCATATTGTCATGATAATATATCTATACTATAAGGTCTTTCCAATAGTATAGGCCAGCAATGGACTATATCAATGTCCGGTACACAGGAAATTGATAGTAATATAGTAACGCAAGGCTCTGCCGGTCTATACTATACACACATACCTTTACACAACTGTATACACATGTACATTTGTTATTACATATAGTATCATGTATATACACATATATACATCCAACACATCTATTCTATACTAGTTTTGAAATAGTTTAGTTTCTGGAGGTTAGATATCTATACACATATGTACATGTTAACACATGAAACCAAGAGTAATCTACTAACGCAAGGCTCAAACGGCCATAGAAAAACAGTAACAACTGTACTATATTCGAGAAAATAAAAAACAAGTAGGAGGACAACAAACTTGCCAAATTATGTGATATCTAACAACATTTTGTCATGTTAATATATCTATACTATAAACGCTTTCAAATAGTATAGGGCACCTATGTTGCATTGAGTACGGATACTATAAACGTTTTCAAATAGTAACTATACTATAAACGTTTTCCAATATTATAGGCCTCCTACTCTATACACATATATTCAACCAACAATACTCACACCTTTTCATGTTAATATATTTGTACTATAAACGTTTTCAAATAGTATAGGCCACCTATGTTGCATAGAGTACAGATACTATAAATGTTTTCAAATAGTATCTATACTATAAACGTTTTCCAATATTATAGGCCATCTACTCTATACACATATATTCAACCAAAATACACACACTTTTTTCATGTTAATATATCTACACTATAAACGTTTTAAAATAATATATGCTACCTATGTTGCATAGAGTACCAATACTATAAACGTTTTCAAATAGTATCTATACTATAAACGTTTTCCAATAGTATATGCCACCTACTCTATACACATATATACATGTTACCACATATACTACCATTTGTACACATCTATACATGCAGCACATATATACTATAGTAGGTTTACAATATTTTAGTTCCTGGAGCATAGAAATCTATACACATCTTGACATGGTAACGCAAGGCTCAAACGGTCTATACTATTAACACATAGTATAGTCCAATACTGCTAACATGACACCAGGTACATGTACTAACCAAAGTCTACTCCTACACTAACACAAATCTCCATCGTTCTATACTATGGACACATATCTATAGACACATCATTATCCTCAACAGATCAGCTGTTCTGAAAACCACAAATCGCGAAACCCAGGTTTGAAATACATTCTGGGAACACACTAAACTAATAATCAACCAATAACGCAATTTATCACCAACAATACTCACACATTTGTCATAATAAGTTATATCAAACGGCATGCAACTGAGTCTTGCGGGAGAGAAAAAAAATTAAAACCATTACCGGCACACCGTTTCGAACACAATCGCCGGAATTTCGCCGGAGGGAGTAAGATCAAATAATTAAGAAAGGTACTTACAAGGTTTACCTTTCAGATGTCTCAGACGAAGCGTAATCCTACTCTCCCTTTCCAAAATACTGTCACCTCCGTCTCACTCGGTTTGAGAAACCAATTGACGGCCACACTCTTCTCCGCTGTGGTATATTCGCCGTAGGAATCGTTCACAGAAGGATTAACTCTCAACCGCGATTTAGAAAAGGGATAATAGTTTCGTAGGGTTACGGAACAGAGAGAATCGGACGGTCACGCGCATAAATGGGGTATAATGGGAATTATATGCAACATTATGTATCATAGCATACCCATGGGCTTACTATGGCTAGGGAGTTGTTTTTTCTCAATATAATGGTTATTGGCCCAAATTTCCCATATTTATTTTCTTGAAATTCTTCTCTTTTTTAACAAACCTTCTAAATAGAAAGACTATATATAATATTTAGAATCCACACAAAAATCTTAGTTAATAAGAAAATCATTTAATATTTGAAATCTATCATAGAGTTGCTAATCTTAACTATTAATTGCATGAATAATATTATGATTAGAATTTTTAATGAATTACTCCCTCTGTTCCTAAAAGATCCATATTCTAGTTTTTTCACATTTTTTAATAAAACACAATAAATTTGCATAGTTTTTTGTGTTTATCTTATTTCCATAATTTTAAACCAATCAAAAATCAATTAGTGCAATTAATTTTTTTGAAATTTACAATTATTTAATAAAACATGCATTGAAAATGTAAAAAATGGATCTTTTAGAAACAATTTTTTTTTCTAGAATATGTATCTTCAAGGAACGGATGGAGTATATATCTTATTCTTTTACATAAGGTAAGGAAATTCAATGGATTTAATTGATTTTTTATTACTATTTATATGAGATGAAACCTTATCAAAATATTAAATAAATTGTGTATGTTAAGATAAATTAATTTTAGAAATATATCTGTTAAGTATGGAAAGTTATTAAGTAAAAACTTGAGACTAAAATATGGTGGATACATTTATTACCTATTTTAAAAAGTATTTAGAGAGTGTAATATTATGAAAATATATTTTAATTTTTTGAGCAAAAAAAAAATATATATTTTAATATATGTTGGATTCTCTTTTTTGGGGGAAAATATAACTAAATACTAAGATTTTAACAGTCGGTTCTTAGTTTTTTTAATTAAAAGTTAAAAAAAGAATCCTTATATCTTGTTTATATTTTGTTAAGAACTATACCGTAAGAACCCTCCGTTAATCATGTTATTAGGATGTATAAGAAGATAATTTTTGTTTTTGTTTTTGAACTTGTTAAGACAATGACTTTGTGGAATGATTCTCCTTCAAAGTGATCCTGACTGTTGATTTTATTAAAATAGAAGCAAATATTTGCTGTTTTGACTAAGAAAAAGATCCCACAATTACGATGAATTTGAATTAAAATCCTGACTGTTAAATTTAATTTAGAAAGACTTTCTGAATTTGAATGTATGAAATCTTCCTGAATAAGTATGATAATCCAGTGAGATGACCAAGTTCCTTTAATTTGGATTTGTTACCTTCTATCCATAATTTTAATGTATATATAAAGGTACTTAGGTAGAACAACAATTTTAACACTAACAATAGACGTTGAGAAAAACAGATCCTCGAGTAAGTCATGACTTCTTTCTCTGGTTGTTTCTTTCTTGTTTCGATGGTCGTTTCATTACCATTTTTATTAGCATCTTCTTCAACCTTGTCAACAAAATACATTGATACCATTTGCAATAATTCGAAGAACAAAACCTTCTGCCTTCAAACGCTGACCACGTATCCCCCTGCGGTCTCTGAAACCAACATGGTATGGTACTGTCTAACCCTCATTTCTTTTCTATCTGTTGTTTGTTTTACACCAAACATATATATATATATATATTTAAATTATCTAATTTTACTGTCTAAGTTATGGGTCTAATAATGACTCTAATTTGTTTTAACCGAATTGAAGGAACAACTAAAAGAAAATCCCATGAATAAATCATAAATTGGTAACTGCAGTCTTGTGTTTTAGATTAGTTCTTTGCGCTGGGAGGAAATAGAGAGGATGTAAGGGTCTAAGATTCATGTTAAGAGATTAATCTATAAAAGAAAATTTTAATTTTAGAAATTAATTAATTTTAAAATGTGAATGGTATGAAATCTGACATATCTTCTTATTTATTAAGTTAATAATAATTCTTTTAACAAGCGTGCTAGACAAACAGTGTTAATAAGTTAATAACTCGTTAGAGTTCTAAACTACAAATCTCTACATGATATATTCTCAGTTGTTAAGGCGAAATTGTGATTTTTTTTTTTCATATATAGTTCAAGCTTGTGAAAATCGTACTCAGCCTTGGAGAGTCCCATGCTAATAAAACGGCAGCTTTCGTTACCAAACTTGAAAAAGAGCCTACGTTTAAGAGACACTTCGCGGCGTGCAATCAATCCTATACCCGAATAGTTGTGAACCTAGGTTATGCGATAGAAGAAATCGATGATATTCCATTGGGTCCAGGTGGTGCCTACAATGATGTCATTCTTTGTTTTGACGAAACAGCTATTGTGAAGAATGAAGTCAGCAATAACACAGACAATGCTTCAAAGAGTCTCATGGGGATGACAATAATTATGGATGCATTCATTGATATAGGCTTAGGAGCCATCAACACAGTAAAAGACAGCAATTATTGAACTCCTGCTCAAATCCCAAAAGATATGATATTTAAACTTGAAATATAAATATAAAAAATGCAGCATATCGGCGGCATTATCGGTTTATGTTAAATGTTTCTGTGAAACTCACTTAAATATGCATGTGTTATTTGTTTGCTTAATATGCTTTCTAGCTAGCTAACATAACGACTGTTTTTTGTATTCTCTATACAAAAGTTTAGCGGTTTAACGTCAAACCTTGCAATGGACGTAGCAGTTTAACTCCAAACCTACAACAGGTGTAATAGGTAGCCATGAAAAAATAGACTGGACATAAAAAAAAAAAGTTATATGAAATGCTCCACGAGAAAAAAAAAATGTTAGAAATGTCCCAGTAATTTCAAAATACCAATGTTATATTTATATTGGGAGATCCAATGTGGGTCTTTTTGGATGTCCTAAGTAAAAGTTTAACATATTCTTATCTAGTACTGTATAAATTACATTAAAACTTCATAAATTAATTCAATTTTATTAATAACTGAAGATAATTTCATAAAATTAACTGTATAGTAATACTAATCAATCTTATCAAATAATAATTATATAAAAATACACTTACTCAATATATTTATTAATAAAAGTTTCGTAAATAATGGTAAAACTTCTTACAAATATTATATCATTAGAGAAAAAGACAAATTAAATGCAACAAACAAGGTCATCAATCTTATGATGTAAATCCTCCATGACATCTATCACTTCCTTAACCCAGTCAACATATTTGATGCTTGCCAACGACTATGTGGTTGTTGAACGGACCTTCACATCCCGGGACATCCACGTAATTAATGCATTTCTTACACTATGATGTAAATCCTCCATGACATCCATGTAATGCATGCACTTCTTGCACTATGTAAGTTAAGTATATGTCAATATACTATGTGGTTGTTGAACGGACTTTCATATCCCAGTATAAGTTCATCAATCTTATGAAAACATTGTTTCTCTTGAGGCTTTGGTGCTCTGACTATCTCATGGTTGATGTGTGATTGTGATATATCTCATGCGCTGCCGCTGCCCCATCTCCTCTATTCTTCATACTCATTTCAATTTTACTTCACCAAGTTGGGAATCAAGTAAAGATTCCACAAACTCTTAGGGAGAAAAATGAACACGCCGCACAGCTAATCGAAACCAAAACAGATCAGGAGCATCACAAGCAACGCAAACCACTCGCGATGCGTAAGCAAAAGCCAGTAGCCATCATAATGGTCAATCCCAAATTTGAAGAGAAGTAATTTTCAACTACTTCTTTTTTGTTTTATTTTTTTAATGACTTTTCTGTTTTTAAATGTACCTCAACAATTTTGTTTTTGTTGGATAATCGAGAAGAACTAGTTTAAATTCCTAAGAATTCCAAAATATAAAATGCTTAATGCTTAGAATAACATTGTTTTTGGTCAACGTTAGGATCAAAACTTGTTCTCATGTGGCAGGAAAGATATTCCACGACCAACACGAACCCCTAAACAGCAACGATGCCATGTTAATGCATTTGAGTATTACAAGTTTAAGCAAATGTTTAAGCGATTTGGTTATTTCTGCATGGACTTTCTCCTTATGTTGGCATTCAAAAGTGTTCGTTTTTTTTTTAATGAAAAGTGTCCGTTTTTGTATCCAAACGATGCATTTAGATCAAATGTTTAGATGTTATTTGTTTCAGCACTATTGTATCATCTATTAATCATAGAAATCCTAATCAAATGACAGTACCTCCATCTAATTATAAAACATAGTGAAATTTTTCATATGCCCCCAGTTTCACTACCAATAATTTTTGAGTTATAACTATTCATTAAAATAACTAACTTTAATTTTAAAAAGTTGTAACTATTTATATAGATCTTTGAAAATCTATAAATAGTATATGTTCATGACTTTTTCTAAGTAAAAATTTTACTAATCTAAAAATAATGAAAAATCAAAATTCTTTCTAACAAAACTATATTTTTGATTATTTTTATTCTATGATAAATAATTCATGTCTTATAATTATATAAGAAAGTTTGATAGTAACACTTAGGTTACATCCGTTATAATGATTGTTCATGATACAAATTTACGGTCGGCATAAATAATGTTTTATGGATGAATTGATGAATTGCATGTATTTAAAAATTCTTATGTTGGATTTGAAAGTTAAAAATCATCTTTCTCATAATACATTTGTTTAAGTATACATTCATAACCTTTTTTTTGTCAACATTCATAACCATGTATATAAGCACAATATCAGGAAATGTTGCATTCTAGCATTTAAGTTTTTGATTTTTTTTTCTTCTAAATCTGAAAATATCGTTTGTTGTTAATTTAAAGTTCCGTAAACTTTACACATAACAAAACAGGTGCAATGGATGTATAAGTGCTTGAAATTTGTTTTTCTTCTGTTCTCAAGTTTTGTTGATAGTAATGCATGAACATTTACTTTGCTTTACAAATAAAATTCATAAAAAATGTTTTACAAGAAATGAATGTGATTTATGAATTTTTTTTTGTTCACATGTGCATGCATTTTAACATTCTCAAGAATGAAAAATGTTTTGCATGCATGCAGTTTAATTACTCTAAAAATTGCGACAATTATAATTTTGTTGGTGAAAAGTCACAGTTAATTATGTGAAAAGTTATTAGATATATTTTCTTTATGAAATGATACCATTTACATTTTTAAAATGTGACAAATAAAAATATGGTCATTAATTTCTTAATTATTTGATAAACAATTATGATTTATGAAAGAACTAAAATGATTAATTAATAACTAATTATATGGTTAAGTGTTCCATATATTTTTAAGAATCCATGTAGTTAAATAATATTAATAAAATATCAATATTAATAGGGAGAAAATTCATAATTTGTGGGGAATCTAAACCATGTCAAAATATGTCTTTGTATCCTTAAAATTTTAATTAGTTTAAAAGAAATTATCAAATATTTAAAGATATATTTTCCTAATGATATGTCTTTTCATCCTAAAAATTAAATGGTTTATAAAAAATTGTAAAAATATGTAAAGAGTGTTTTATCATTATAAAAATTACATAAATGTTGAAAACGTTGTCTTTTTCTGTTTGACAACGATTTTTTTAAGACGTTGTCAAAGTGTCTAAAATGTATCTTTTGATTCTAGAACTTGAGAATATTCTTACTGAATTTTCTTTAGTTATATTGCATATCTAATTTGTATACATTTTGAAAAATATTTAAAAAATTCTTAAACTATTAACGTAATTCGATATATTGAGTAGTTTAATTATTTATAATACTATATTAAATTTATTTATTTAATATTATTATTTTAAATCTTTTATATATATTTAATTCTGATTTGATTTCATTTATTCGGTTTCAAATAAAATATTTTAACTATTTTGACAATATTATTTATTAGTAGACATTAGATAAGCACCAACAAAATGTAAACCATGATTTTCTTTTTATATATGTGCACTTTTTAATTTATGCATGATTTTGATATATATATATATATATTATTTATTTAGTAAATATATAATTACCCTTAAATAGAAAATGATTGTTGGAAATTTAAATAAATCTTTGTAAACATTTAAATGAACTATTGCAATTTTTTGGATGAATAGTTGCAACTGGTTAAAATGAAACCTTGCAATTTTTGGTTATCAACCATTTAAATTTTTCGATGATGAACCATTCCAATATGTAAGGATGAACTATTGTAATTGTTGGTAATTGTAACATTTGATGATGTCTTTTTAAACTTTTTTCAAAAAGATATTTCTTTCCAAAATTCGTTTTCACCTTTTTATTTTTATTTTTTTTTAAACATTTTTTTTCTTGAAATTTTTTTAGGAAGACATATTCTTGAATAAATGTGATATTTTCTAAATTTTAGTTTAGGAAAACTTACATAAACACGTATAATATCTTTCTGAATTTGAGTTCAGAAAATCTTCCAAAATAAGTATAATATATTTTTAGAAAATAGGATGATATTTGATAAAATATATATAATATCTTGATTATCTTCATATGATTTAGGAAATCTTTCATAAATGTGTAATACTGTATTGTATTTATAACTAATAAATTTCATATAATTTGTAAATAGCAACAATAATTATGTGGCATCCAGTGAGATTACCAAATTTCCTTTAATTTAGATTATCTCCATCTATCCGTAATTTAAATGTATATATAAAGATACTTAAGTAGAACAAAAAATTGAATACTAACAATCGAGGTTGAGGAAAAATAACATCTTGTGTGAGTCATGGGTTCTTTCTCTGGTCGTTTCGTTCTTGTCTCGCTGGTCGTTTCGTTACCATTTTTGTTAGGATCTTCTTCAAGCATGGCGTCAACAAAATATATTGATACAATATGCAATAGTGGTTCCACCAGTAACAAAACGTTCTGCTTTCAAACGCTGACCGCGTATCCCCCTGCTGTCTCTGCAACCAACTTGGTATATTACTATCTAACCCTCATTTTTTTTCTATATGTTGTTTGTTTTTCATTTGATATAACACCAAACATTTATATTCAAATTATCAAATTTGACTGTCTAAGTTATGGGTTTAATTGTTTGAACCGGATTGAAGGAACAATTAAGAGAAAATCCTATGAAAAAATCATAAATAGGTAATTGCAGTCTTGTGTTTGAGATTTCAGTTTCTTTGAGTTGGGAGGAGATTTAAAGAATGAGGGTTTTTTTTTTTTTTGAACCAGAATTATAGGGTCTAAAATTCATGTTTTTTTGTTAAAAGATTTAAAATTCATATTATAAGATTAGTCTATGACAGTTCAATTTTAGTTATATACATTTTTTTTTTTAAAATGCGACTTATGAAATATGACATATTTTCTTATTTATTAAGTTAATAGTTTTTAAACAAGCCCGTTGGAGAAAAGGTGTATGGTAAAGCGTTAGAGTTCTATTTTCTAAATGAAGCTATATAACTGTAAATTTGTAATCACTATTTATGGCAAAAGTTTTGTAGCATATATACTTATTACTTCTGAAAAACTACAAATATCTTCACGATATATTCTCAGTTGTTAGACTACTTACAATGAGGTTGTTGAATTTTTTTTTCAACTGTTGAATAGATGCAATGAGGTGTTGAATAGGAGTTGAAAAATGAGGTGGATTAAACTGAGTTGAATTTATTCAACACGTTGAATCCAAGAGAGAGGAGAGAGACAATAGCAAATGGTGATTTATGATTGGTTATTAATATTGTTGATATTTTATTGTTTCACCTTAGTTATTTGTGATTGATTTTTATATATTAAATAATTTTATTTTTTATTTAATTTTATATCAAAATTTATTATTTTTATACTTTATAAAAAGAAATTTGTTTTATTTGATTTGGATACAAAATGAAAATAAAGTTTTAATATAACTATTAATTAGTTTTTAATAAATTGAAACTTATTCTAACAATAATAAAATTAAATGATTCATTTCAATTTTACTCCATTTTTTTTTGTTGAAAATAATTAATAATATAACATAAAATAGTAAATTAGGTGTTGAAACAAAACCATTGTATGATATAGAAGTAAAATATGTGTTGAATTATTATGTGGAAGAAAGAGAAGATGATGTGGAATGTTAAAAAGTAAAAATTAGGGTGTTGAATACACAAACCATTGCACATAGTCTTACGGTAAAATTGTGTATAGGTCAGCCTTGTCAAAATCGTACTCGGTCTTGGACTGTCCCATGCTGAAAAGACGACAGGTTTTGTTGCCGAATTGGCAAAGGAGCCTACGTTTAAGAGATATTTAAAGGTGTGCAATGACTCCTATACCGGAATAGTGTCGGAACTAAAAGTCGCGATAGTAGAAAGCGATGAAGATCCATTGAGTGCCAACTATGACATCAGGGTTTGTGCTGACCAATCAAATATTGTGAAATATAATATCGGAAATAACACAGACAAGTCCTCAAAGAGCCTCATGGAGATGACATTCCTTATGGATAAATTCATTGATATATGCGATGGAGCCACCCGCTCAATATGTAGCACAAATATATAAAAATTAATTACTTTAAATTTTAATTATCACAAGTGCATAGAAATTAAAACTGAATTTAGTTTTAATTTATAAACAAAAACTAATATACATTCCTAAGAATTCCAAAAAAAAAGTTTAATGGTTAGAATAACATTGTTTTTGGCGAACGTTAGGATCAAAACTTGTCCTTAAATGTTAGCGATATGATTTATCTAGACTTTGACTGTGTTTTTAAAATGTGGGATGTTTTGTATTGAAAAAATCCAAAAAAATGTCAATTTAAAAATTTTTACTACTGTTAAACAGATAATTTCATTTTGTCTAAATTCTTCTCTTTTTTTAACAAACCCTTTTGAATAGAAAGACTATTTATAGGGATGAAGTTAGACATACTCCCTGTTTCAAAAAATTATATTTTCTTCACATATATTAAGAAAATAAATAAAACTTTGATTACTAATATATCATTTTTTGTATCTAACGATTCTTCATAATTTTTAACAAACATAATTCTAAAAATTCTTCATAATTTTTAACAAACATAATTTTAATAAACACAATTAAATTTTATGAAATTTACAGTTTATCATTAATTAATACATTGAAAATGTAAAAAGTGTATCTTTGTGAAACAAATATTTTTTTTCTATAACATGGATCTTATTGAAACAGAGGGAGTATGTTTTATTGTGTTAAATCCAAATATTATTATATAAAATCTAGGTTATAATATATTAGAATCCACACAAAAATCTTAGTTAACAAGAAAATAATTTAATATCCAAAATCTATCGTAGAGTTCCTAATCTTAACTATTTATTGCGTGAATAACTATATTATGATTGGAATTTTTAATAAACAATGTATCTTATTCTTTTACATAAGTTAAGGAAATTGAATAGATTTAATTTAATTTATTATATATTACTATTTATATGCGATGACACCTTATCAAAATAGTAAATAAACTATTTTTTATTGTTCTATTTTTAATGGTTTTTTCTTCTTTTTATTGGATAATGGAGAAAAATCGAGGTTATCTTATCATTTAGTTCAAAATTAGACTCACGTTAAATAATTTCTTAACTGGATTTAAGTAAATTGGTTGAGTTCTGAATTTTTCTAGTGCTAAATAAGATTATGATGATACTTTTATCACAAAATAGCACACAAAGATTAAATTTACTAAATAATCATTAAAAAGTAGTTGATAATTATACCCATACTTCAAAGATATATTAGATAAAATAAAATTTTCTAGGAGTTTTTTAAAAATCGTATTTTTGTTTCTAAAAGTTATTTAAAATTTCTTTTGAAATTTTTTTCCAGATATTTTTCTTTTCAAAATTTCCCTTTTTGATTTTTTATTGAATTACTGTTTAGTAAATAAATTTTCTTAAAAATGAAACCTTTGTGATTAGGTATGATATTTTTAAATTTTATTCAGAAAGACTTTCATACCTAAACATGTATAATATCTTTCTTAATTTGAATTTATGAAAACCTTCCTGAATAAGTATAATATCCAATGAGATTACCAAGTTCCTCTAATTTAGATTTGTTACCTTCTATCCATAATTTTAATGTATATATAAAGATACTTAAGTAGAAGACTACTAACAATAGAGGTTGAGGAAAATAAATTCTCTAGTAAGTCATGACTTCTTCCTCAAATTGTTTCTTTCTTGTTTCAATGGTAGTCTCGTTACTATTTTTCTTAGGATCTACTTTGGTCATGGCCTCAACAAAAGATATTGATACCATATGCAATGCTGATTCTATGATCCCTAAGAATAAAACGTTCTGCCTGCAAACGCTCACAGCGTATCCTCCCGCAGTCTCTGCACCTAACATGGTATATTACTATCTAATCCCTCATTTATTTTCTATCTTGCTCTAATAATTCTGTTGTTTGTTTTTTATTTTGATATTACATCAAATTTTTAAATTAAAAAAAAATTGGATTTCTTTGTCTAAGTTATGGGTCTAATTGTTTTAGCCGAAAAAAATAATTAAAAAAAAATCCTACAAGTAAATCATAAAATAGGTAATTAACTATTTTGCAGTCTTGTGTTTTAAAAAAAGTTTTCATTGTGTTGGGGGTTTAAGATTCATGTTAATCTCTGAGGGCTTAAAATTTTAGTATTAGATAAGTTCATTGATTTTACTGGTATGAAATCTGACATATTTTCTTATTTATTAAGATAATTAACTTTTTAACTAGCGTGTTTAAAAAAAGTGTATTGGAAATTGTTAACAGTATTTTGTAAATGAAGCAATGTAACTGTAAATATACGTAATCACGTAGTATGGCAAAACTTTTTGTAGCATAATTATTATCCCTGAAAAACTACAATTCTCAGTAAAATTATGTGTTTTTCATATATAGGCCAAGCTTGTGAAAATCGTAGTCGGCCTTGGAGAGTCCAATGCAAACAAAACGGCAGATTTCGTTGCCGGATTGGTAAAAGAGCCTACATTTAAGCAATATTTTAAGGCGTGCAATGACGCCTATAAGTTAGTAGTGTGGAATTTTAGAAGTGCGCGATTAGAACTCGAGGATAACGAGACACAGACTGCAAGCAGTGATATCCTGGTTAGTTTGGACGATACAGAAATGGTGAAGAATACAATCGGCAAGAACACAGACAAGGCCTCAAAGACGCTCATGGAGATGACACTAGTTATGGAGGATTTTATTGGTATAGCTTATGCAGCCGTCGACCAAATCGACAAATAATGACGGAATTATTGAACTTTTCATGTGCCTAAATCCCTAAAGATAATATTTGAATTTGAAATAAAGATATGAATTTCAATTCTGATTAATAAATGCAGCATATCGGCATTTTTGGTAATATTTAACTGTTTATGTGAAACTCGTATAAACATGCATGTGTTATTTTCTTGATTAGTTTGCTCTCTAGTGGTTTAACTTCAAACCTTGCAACTGACATATAGCAGCTTTGCTTTGACCCTTACAGCAGAGGTAATAATCAATAGGGGATCCAAAAAAGGAGAAACATAGAAATTATATGAAATGCTCCAAAAAATAATGTGAAGGGAATACCTTTGACAAGATTTTTTTTACAAATAATCCATTTGTTTCAAAATACCATTGAGAGATTGACAAAAAGTTGTAAGTAAGTTACATCAAACATAAGGCTCGTTAATACGAAATACAAATATATAGGCTCAAATTTTCTTGGTTAAGTTGCATAGGTTATAAAACCCATGCAGATGTGTAGTATGTCTCCAATAAACTTAGGATCTTTATACAAGAAATTATTTCATTACTTATTTTCATTTATGTTGTTGTGTTCTGTTATGTATTTGCTATTATCTTTGTGAGTTAAAGTCTCGAGTTTAAACATACTAGTGGGACACTAATAACAAGTTTAGCTCATACCCAATTAGTTTTTACCAAACTGACGCGAATTGTAAACTAAACGCAAAGTTCAAAAACAACAACGACTTCTTAAGCCACCTATGAGCAATCAAGAGCACCAATCTGATTATATAGATGCTCCTCCTCAATCTAAGTCCGTCGTTGCAGAATCCATGTATGAAGAAAGAGAAAATATTGGTGAAGCGGTAGTTCACCGCTTTTATAATGAACTTTGTCGATTAAGTCATAATATGAATAAAAAAACACAGAACATCAAATTTTTATTTTAAAAAGACATCTTATATATACATATATATATTTTTTTAAATGATTAATAAAAAAAATATAAATAAAATGTGAGCTTATTTATCTTTCATTATTACAGGCAAATTAAAATTAAAAAGTAATTATTTTAAATAATATAGTATTCTAAACGAATGTAAGTAATAAAAAAATACTCAAATATTTTTCTAAAAATACTAAATTTATAAAAATAAACTATATTTCTTATTTAAAGATTAATTATCAAAATAAATTTAAATTATCAAAATAAAATAAAATAAAATTATCAAAAAAATAAATTATTAATAAAGAAAATTTAGTAATATTGACCAAATATTGGAGGCCCTTTTGTGGGCCCATTGAGGCAAGGATTTCAAAACTTTTTTAGGGTTTCCCTCAACAGAAAAAAGAATGCACAGATTGGACGGTTTGAGAATAGGGCAACAAAGATCAAGGGTTTAGAAAAACAAAAGCTCTGGAGAAAGTTGTCTGATCCTCTCATAGTGGGAACCATGGGCGAAGGAAGCAAGTTTTACTCCGGTAAGATCATCTCTCTCTCCATCTCTTTAACCAAACCGAAATTGTTTTGTTAGATTTTTCGATACCGTCATACTTATTATGCCTTTGTTTTGAAAAAAAAAAAAGAGAATATGTCAATGGTGTTCTGGAACATGGACGACTACCCAATCCCTGCTGCTGCTGGTGGTGTCGAAGATGGTCTTGGTTTTATTCGTAATAATATCGTAGAAGTTGGTCATCGAATGGGCTTTCATGGATTTATGGAAATCTGGGTGTATTGTAAGCGAATCAACGCGACGTACAAGAAGAGTTGAGAGAAAAGGCTGGAATCTATTACTTACCCACATGTACTATATAATTTCACAACTCTCTCTTTTTACTTATTGTTATTAATAATAATATATGTCTCTCTCTTTTCTTTCTTGGATAGGTACAAGAACTGGTGTTAACAAACCGTCTCCTCTGGATATGACTTGTTATTTGGTTCATCACGCATTATCTGTTTATGGACCATATGGTCCACCCGATTTAGTGGTAATAGCAAAACCAGTAAGGGAGTTAGATAGGGTACTCGAGTGTTTGCGTTTGAGGAGTGTTTGCGTTTGAGGGGTCACCCTATTCTCCTAATTGATCCCACTGCTATCACAGGAGGAGGATCTTTCTTTAGTGTTGAATCTCTACTTGGTTGTACACGTCTTTTACGTCCTCCTACTCGTATCGATCTCGAATCTCTTCTTCCCGATGATGATTTCTCGGTTGAAGAATTTCTGGCGGCTGACGAATATCTCAAAGATCTCTCCTCTCATCGTGAAAACGATACCTCCAAGATTCTAGATTTCTTCGAGCCTATAAGACCCGTCAAAGAGCATAGGACAGGCGTCTTCTGGGACGCTGAAGATTTCCCATTCCCTCCTTTTTCCACTCCTGATGAGATCTTTGCCAGAATCGAGTCTGCTCTTGTGGAAAGAGGTTTAATCTATAAGCTTACAATCTGGGTCTATCTTGATGATGACAAGAAAGGGACTTGGTGGGATGCCTTACTTGGTGGTGGTGGTGGTGGTAAAAAAGAGTGGGCTTCCAGAATTTACTTTCTTCCCGGAGGTAAAAAAAGTTTATTTGTGAAAAACTGTTCAACATATTAAGAAATTTAAAAATATGATAGAATAATCTAATAACATATAAATATATTTGAAATTTAATTATATAATTTTAGACAAATATTCACAAGTTGGATACAATTAATATATCTGAATATCTTTGATAAACATTTAATTTCTAAAATGCTAGGAAATATATTTTAAGCTTATATAATTTCATTAAGATATAGATTTGATAGCCACATTTAAATAATATTTATTAAAATAACATAAATAAATAATATTAGAAAACTTCAAAGATGTGCCCCTCTGTTTTATTTCTTTAATTGTTTTACAGTTAATTGTTGAATATTTTGTGAAGCTATTTAAATATTATAAAATTAAATTAATCTGATAAAATAATCTAATAGCGTAAGTAAAAAATATGTAAATTAATACCCGATAAATTAATAAGAGTCAATGAGCCCAATATACGTTGTTGTAGGCGAAATTAGGAATCTGCCATTTCTTAATTTTTAGGGCCCAAAAAGTACCTGGCTTCGTGTTCAATTACCCATTAGTCCTCGAGATCAATTGACGTAAGCTTACGTCGTAAGCTAAGATGATCTTCTAAGATTTGTTAAAGATTTAGTAAATATATGCTTCAGACAATTTTCGTTAACCGAGGTGGCTAATAGATATTGTATCACACGAAACTTAATCTGGACCGTGTAATATCTGACACGAACGGCGCCTGGATCTCGTATCCAAAGGAAATCTAAAAGCTTTACATACACAAGATATGTATACAGAGGCGATCTTTCACCTTCTTCATTCCTTCTCTCTATAAAAAGTACTAACCTGAAAAGCTTCCCCAGATCCCTTTCCTCAGGCCTTTTGGTCGTAAACCAAAAATAGAAATAAAGTTTACAAACGTACAAATACATTTCGGGGGATTTCAGCTGAGGTGGAAAGGTAATGAGATGCGAGGAATATTTCTATGTTATCTATTATCATTCTCTGTATTTATTTCTGCAATGTCGTATTCATTAAATGATGACCAAAATACGTAGGTTTAGAAATCGTACAGGGGCTTCTCTGTGAATTGTATTTATGATACTAAATCGTTGTTCGTTTGATATGTTGTCTTTAATGCTCGAAACCCTAACATTTAATTATAACTAAGTCGAGTTAACTCAACCGATATCTCTGTCTCGGAATGTGTAATAATCTAATATCGATGATTGTTTTCACTTGTAGATGACAATATGTGTGAAGCTTTGGAGGGGAGAATGGAAGAAGACGGCTGAGGATGAGTGGCACTTCCACCCTGATGTTGATGAGGTTGGAACAAGGGTTATGATTGAGGAAGATGAAACATATGAATCTATCGACGATATGGTGAGGAGGCACTATGCTTTACGGCAGAGCACACCCCTGGTCCTAACCTTCAGACTCCCAAGTTGGATGTTATCATCGGTCGGCTTTAAAACACCACCAACAACAATAACACGGACGGAAGATCTTTGTGTGTTGCTTAACGTGCGAACAACAATCGCAGATCTCGGTTTACTAGTGACGATTGGTCCTAAGAGGGTGGCAGAATATGAGTTCCTCTGTAGAAAGAATTTCACGATAGGGTCAACTACTTATGTTGTTGACACCACCCAGAGTCAACAAGACCGAGCTGAATATGAAAGTAAGGTTCCAAGTCTGAGTAATACGTCTACGTTTTAATATTTGTAAGATTTAACTGTTATCATAACCCTATTTATATAATGGTGAAAATCGTAGGGCTTGTCTATGGAGATAGGGAGAAGGAAACTGAGAAGGTAATGAACGCGCTGTTTAGTGAGCAATCGTTAATGCTCTTCCACCGTGTAACCTGCGAGATGGCTTATGCGGACCAGAGTCAACCAAACATGCAAACCAACAACGTAGGGGTGAATGAGGTTATTGTGGTGGACGATGATGATGACGTCATGGTTGACGCCATTGCACCGACTCTTGAAATGGGAGAACCAAGTTACCGAGGTAAAGGTCAATTACTAAGCATAACTCAAATACCCACCATCTTGTTTTAAATTCTAGTAACAATTTCACTCGACAAGACCATTCTACTTAACCATGTGTTTCTAATAGGTAACAACAACTATGGTGTTAACATGACATGTAACAACAACGGTAATGAAAATGCGCCATCGATTTTATGGGAAGTGGGGATGGACATGGTTAACTACCACATCCAAAACAAGTCGATGATTAACCATGCTGGTTTGGTTAATAACATGACTTTCTGGGATGAGGTTATTGCAGCCGGAAGTCAGATTGATGCAGGTTTGAACATAAATGAACAGAATGAACCGGAGATGGAAAATGTGGGTGCGATTGTCCCCGTACCTCCTCCTCAAGTTTGTGATATGATGAGAAACGGCATAACAGGAGTGGATGATAAGGAGAAGAAAGCTGGAGAAGCAGGAGACTCGTCAACTGGATCAACAAAGAACTGCGAAGAAGGGTTTGGGAATGAAGGCGGGAATGGTAGTAACATTATCGGTTCGGACATCTCTCCTATGCCGTTCAATGTTGGGAATATCAACAACTCTCCTCAAGGTAACTAACATTTACTTATGGCAAATGATCAGTAAGATAATATTATATATTTAATTTCCCATGTAAATGTTATTATATGGAAATCTTCTATTGAGTGTAGTCTCTGTCGCAGGGCTGACGAGTACCGCATGTACAAGTCTAGTTGAAGTACAGCGGCTCCCATCAACGGAGGGAGTAATGGGACGTCCGAATGCTAATCCCCCACTGTTTAACCTAACTCAGGGTGGACCGTCTGCGAACTTTAATGTTGGTGGGAAGAAACCTAAGGCTGCGTATGAGAGTTCATCAGAAGAAAGCGGCACAGATGGTTGGTTCTGAGTTCTCTCTGGCATATGGTGTAGGAAAAATCTGTTGTAGTTATTGTAAAAAGTGGGAAAACGGTGTGTTGGCACTACAAGAAAACTCGTCCATTACTAGGACGGGTTTTCCTCGTTAGTTCCTAGTAAATGGCCTTTTACTAGGAACTTACGAGGAAACGCGTTTCCTCGAAACACGTTCATCGTAAAGACATTTTCCTCGTAAGGTTGTAGCGAATTTACGAGGAAAGTTTTCCTCGTAAAGGCGTGGTAATATTTTCCTCGTAAGGT